CCCCCCCCCCCCCTTAATTTGAATTACTCATACATCTAAAACATTTATAACTATATAGTGCAAAAGGTATATTTCGTAGTAAATAGAGTTTTGTGTTGATAGTATTTAGTTTTATTTTTTTCCTAAAATTATTTGACGGCACGTCTGTACCTCATTAAACACTTCTTTAGAAAAAATGGCACTTTGATCCATAAAGGTTCGCTACCCCTGTCCTAGACCCTATCCTACCCCAGGAATTGGGTGGCCGCAGTAGCCTAGTGGTCAAGGTATCGGATCGTGGCTGGCTTGTCATGAGTTCGAGCCCAGTACCACTAAAGACACGCCGTGTAGGGGAGAGATGCACATTAAATCTGTCGAGAGCTCAAACATCCTCCCGTTGGTGTTGTGTGGTAGTTAGGAGAGGGGGTGCCAGCTCAGGTGTCGTCCTCGTCATTTGACCATGGTTCAAAATTACGAGGTCCGTCGCCAAAAACCCTCGAGTAGCTGAATAGTGCGAAGTTCATATTCATTCACTCACCAGGAGTTGGTATTATTTTTTAATGTAGCACCATATAGGCGATACCAAATGCCGCAAGTAATTTTGACACCCAGCTTCCTCCCTAGGAGAAAGACACCTGACGATGCGAAATTGTACTTACGAATTTAATTTTGCCGAGAGCACCCAAACCAAACGGACACTCAAGGGATTTTTTACATGCCGCATAATCATACGACATAAACGCTGTCGATTTTCTGCATCATGAAAATCCACCGACTTGGGCCGGGGTCGAACCCAAAACCATAGGTGCAGAAGGCCAGCTAAAAACCAACTACGCCACCCAGATGGAGTAAAATTAAAGTGTTTAACACCTTACTTAGGCTGGACAGATCAGCTGAAATAGTAAATTCTAAATAAATAGCTAAGCCTTACGAACAATTTTAAACACACACACACACATATCGTATAACACTTTCAATATTTTAAAAAACAATAAAAATTTTAAAAATTCAAAAATTTAAGAGCAACAAGGTATTTTGTATGTGTAATACTTTAAAATATTTCGTAAAACATCGCATAAACGTTGCATTTCTTTCCATTTTATTTGTGTACTCTTCTAGGTAAAATTCCAATATTTCTTACACTATACATAGTTGCAATTTATAATATCCATCCCAGCAGTTATTACAAACGACTATTAAAGCGATGAATATTTCATATTAGAATAACAAAATTGAGAAATGGTTGAAAGTAATTTGGTTACAGTAGTTCCACAATATTTAATATGCGCTTCTGAGCTGTGTTCCAGAGAAATTAATTTCCTAAAGTATGTAATTTGAAGAGTGATTAATATTCCAACCTGTCACAGAATGGACATAGAAACCTTCCTTTAGTGATATTTGCAAGGACTCCCCGGATTTAAAATGATACATATTACAGTTGAATTTGGAAGATTTTGGAGATGGGGATATTTTTTCCCCTCAATTATTAAGATGAATGGGTGTTTAAAGCTAATGAACAAATAAAAAGATAATCATGTTATCTAATTAAAAGCCACAATAAGGAACTCATTATAATAGTTTGACATATTGCATTGAAAAGATTTTATTCCAATGTATAAAAAAAATGAACACATTTACTTTTCTGTACAATTTATTACATACTTATTGGTTTTAACATCAAGAAAATAAGTCATAGTAAACTTGAACTCTACTAAGACGATTATTTCGTAAATTGTTACGTTTATCTATAAAAAATAAATTGAAGGAAATCAGAATTTTCAATCCCTTCAATATAACATGTTTAAAAATAAAAAAAAAATTATTTTCGTTCATATTTAAACATTAGTAAAAGCAGATAACGAAGCCCAGTGGCTGAGTGGTAGAGCATCGCGCTTCCACACCACAGGTCTGAGGCTCAAACCCCAGGCTGGGCAAGGTCGACTCAGCCTTTCATCCCTTCAGTGGGTTGGTAAATGAGTACCAAGCTTTCTTGGGAGCTTAACACTGGAGGTTTCGCGTCAGACTCACCACTTGACCGGAACATTTACTCATGCACCTCAGGACCCAAGGTCACGTTACTGATATAGGCACAGTAGGCCTTGGCACTCATGGGTTGTTGCGCTACTGAGTTAAGTTAAAAGCAGATAACTTTTAATGTCGCAATCAAAACACACACACACTACTCTCCTAACTTCCACACGAAGCCAACGTGATGTCTCTGAGACATGACAGATTTATCTTGCGTCAGCTCCTCTACACGATGGGTCTTTTAAAAATAAATTTAAAATAACCAGAAAAAACTTCATTATAGGACTCGAATAAGCGACTGGAGAACGCCGGTCACGGGTTTGTGAACGTGGCTACTAGGCACACCGTAACCACACAGATAGCATTGAATAAATCAGAATGTGTAGAATAGCTGCAATCAATTCTTACGAATGCCATTTAAAAATATAAATTTATTCCATGGGTCAAGACGGAAATTTATATATTTTTCTAATCGATATCACATTAAATAATTCTGTTTCCTATATAACAAAAAAAGTAATTTATAAAAAAATTAAGTCAATTCCTACTTATGTCAACAAAGAAAATATTATTTTAGTTACTTTTTATTAAATAATTACAATTAATATAAATATGTATGTACATATGACAGAATCACAATATTAAGTGACAAAATAGAAAGCGATTTTCCTTGTAATTTTCCCCATTTTTCTTTCTATATATGATGCTGGATTATTTCTTTTGTGTTTGTTACTATTTATGCATTAATAAAATTCGATTATTCTAATAAAATAGTATAGTAAAAAAGAAATCACAGTATCAGAAATTATACCATCCCAGGTGGGATTCTTATACACGACCTTTTGGATTAGAAATCCAACGAGCTATCCATTGCACTACTGGGACCACAACGAACGAGTTTCCTTTCTAAATATTCTGTTGGACTATTATTTTTATTTGTTACTATTTATTCATTTTTTAATTTAATTAATGAATAAATATTTGAAAAAACTGTATTAACATCAAGTGTCATCCACAACAAGTTTAAAAAATGTATTTGAACTTGAATGGATGAATAGAAAGTATTTTATTAACGATTGAAAATTTGAACAAGAATATATAAATAAATAAATATATATAGGGAGAGAGTGAACAATAGTAGAAAAATTGAAAAAATTAATGTGTTGAGACTTTTTTTTATCAATAAAACTTATAAGCAAAATGTTTAACTATTTGCAAAGTGCATGGATATTTCAATTATACCCTTTCACAATAATGTTTCAAAATACAGATATCAACAACTTTCAGAGTTAAATTATGTGTATTTTTACAGTACTATCACCGTACTATAAAAATTCCCCATTATTACTTTATTATCATGAACTTTTTACAATGAGTTGAAAAACAATATAAAATTAGCTAAAAGTCCTAGTATAGAGAGAGAGAGATATATATGTTTCATTATATATAGTTCAGCGATGATTTTAAATATTTTTTTAGTCTTTAGAAATCACATAGTTGAAATTAATAATTAAATAAATAGTTTATTTCTTAAATTTTATGATCAACAAACATTTTAATACAGCTTAGATACATCTGGGTAAAATAAATTCATATTGTGCCAGTCAAAATACAATCTCAGGGAGGCTAATAGCAATTTATTAAATTGCAACATGGATGTTTTTAATAACGCCAATTGATAACTAAGAAAAGGAAAGCAAAAGAAAAAAATCTATTAGACATCCTTTTAGAGAATATTGAGATCTTTTAACCGCAAACGGAAAAAAGGCAGGCGTTTCATTTCCACGCCGTGTTTCTATAGTAGCAGCTGGCAGAAACAATGGAAAACCCAAGCTGTCTACCATTGTTTTTCCGGTTCTAGAGTGAAGGAATTATTTTATTGGAAAAAGAAAAGACAGCGCTGTGTCAAGAGATGAAAAAAAAAATGAAATAATACTGTTTCCTTGTGATTTCGAATCTTTTCGATTTATGATGAAAATCACTACAATTTAAGATATTTAATTTGTGGATATAAAAAAAAAACCATACATTTATTTTATTATATTTTTTAAAATATTGATCCCATTATGTATTATTTTTATTATGCATCAAATAAATAAGCACGAAAGAAATTTCTTTTCACTCACACACACACTGGCGTAGCTAGTCCAAAGTGGGCCCTGTATCAAAATTTCTTGAACACGCTTTTGTGAGGTCCTTTAAATTATTACGATATTTTTGCTAATATAAAGGGCTCCTGTAGCTTGGAGGCCCCGTATCATTGATACGGTTGATATCGCGGTAGCTACGCCCCTAATTTCACTTAGAAAAAAAGGTAAAAGAATTATGTAAAGAAGGCATACATGAATTTTAACATAACAAACACATACTTTAAATATGAGAAATTACAAGTATGAGAATAAGTATGTATATTGTTTTTCAGCAGATGACACTTTTCATTTATTTACAACAAACCAGACTACTTTATTTTCAATATTATTATGATAAAATTTAAAAATAAGATAAAAATGGACATCTTAAAATTTGCTCTCTATTTATGTACGCGTTTACAGACAGAGTATTGTGTCAAAGATAGACATATACAGAGACATATATACAGCTTGAGAGATAGATAAAGAAACAGATTATATATATATATTTATTATCGATTATTTTTCATTTTCCCTGTTTTTAAAGGAAGCTGTAATTCGAATAGCGGAACAATATATTTCAACTAAATTTTATACTGCACATACACAGTTATTTGAAAGGGGAAAAATTAATAAGAACCAATCTTAATACAGTTAACATACAAGTCTACTTTCTGAATTGCAGTATTTAATGGCTGTATTCACTGTCGGATAATGGAGTTTGGAAACCGAGGCTATGAAAAAGCAAACTACTGGTTTAAAACTTCATCTCGCCAATTCTTTTTTCTCTCTCAATTCCTACTGTTAGTTCACACTATCCCTATATATATTCATATACCTTGCTCTAATTTTCAATCGTTAATAAAATATTTTTTTTTTTCATCTACTCAAGTTCAAATACATTTTTTTTTAAACTTGTAGTGGATGACATTTGATGTCAATACAGTTTTTTTCAAATATTAATTCATTAAAGAGATATATTCCACTCGATATTATTCCTCTAGATGGCCGCACCATTGGATGAAACAGAGCTTTTGTTAAATTTGTGATGTAGAGAGAGAGAGATTTAACTTAACTTTAATAATCATATGCTATTTAGACTTCAGCATTCACACATTTTACACTGGTTTTAAAATAAATTCTTAACTATTATATTCAACTTTTATTAAAAAATGGAATAACAAATTTAATGTGGTTAAAAAGTTTTTAATGTTAATTTAAAAGGTGTTTTGCCACTTAATATTCTGATTCCGTCATATGTATATACTTATGTATATTAATTGTAATTATTTAATAAAAGTAACTAAATTAAATTTTTTTTTGTGTTGACCTAAGTTCTGGAATTGATTTTAAAATTTTTTTTATATATTAGTTGTGTTTAAAACTATGGCTACTTAACCGCGAGTTTCGGTGATCAAAATAAACCCTGTGACTCTTTCGAATTTTTTAACATTGCACCACTACAAATAATATACGTATATGTATATATATAGTGAAAATTGTTTAACACGAAACTAGAGGACTGAAATATTTTTTTGTATAAAAAAACATATTCAACAAAAATTATTAGAATACATTTTTATTTTCCATTTTTTTAAAGTTAAGTAGAGTACACAATTTGCTCTTTTATTTAAAAAAAATTTTTTTGATAAGTAAGCAATATCAAAATTTTCACAGATTTCCGTTTTCGTCTTTTGTTTTTGATCAACAGCCTTAAGAAGTTCCATCTTCAGTTTAGGTGAAATATAGTAATTTGTTTTACCCTTGAGCTCTTTGCTATTGCGCTCATAAAGAAATTCTCCTATTATGAATAAAAAAAAAAAAAAAACCGCGAAACAAACTTACTGATTTTTATTCATACTGCGTAAAGTTTGTACTGCATTTGTACCGGGTGGAGTGTGTAAGTAGTTTAGATAAACAAAACTGGCTCATATCACAGGCTATCCCGCGCGAGGGTATTTCAAAGCCAAGTTACCTTTCTTTCTATGAAACACGTGAAAATACCACCATTTCATTTCACACCCCTCTTAAATCTCGCCTGTGAGGCTGGTGTCGTCCGTACTTTGCTCATTCCCGAAAGAAAAATATTTCCGTGTTAAGCTATTTTCGTTTTGAGTTAAGAGAAAAAAATGCATGAAATACATAACAGTTTGTCGAGACCGTTGTATTATTTCGTGTAAACCAATATTTCGTCTTAAGCGATATCGCGTTAAACGTATTTCACTGTAGTTTCCGTTTACTTTTCTCTCGCTTCTAGATATCAATTTTGTTTTTTAAATAATCAAAATGAATATTAAATGAAAAATTTTCTTAATTTTATTCACCATAAGAGCGGAAATATTTAAAAACACAAAACTGTTTGTAAACATACGAATAATCGCTTACGGCACAAGTGCGGCTAAATCTAACACAAGGTTAAAATTTCCTTGCATGAGCCAGGATTAGGAAATAAATTTGCGATGGTGAAATTGAATACACGGCGAAACCTAGGTTTAATTCTTTTTATTGCCGGTCAGCGGTGAATACGGCAGTAAGAGTATTGAAATTTTAAGAAAATTATATATGTTAGAAACATTAGTTTACACAAACCAAATTTACTATTCAGACCGCCGCCGGTTGGGTGGCGTGGCTGGTTTGTCGTAGGCCTTCTGCACCTAAGGTTGCAGGTTCGACCCCAGCCTAAATCGGCGGATTTTCATGATGCAGAAAATCGACAGCGGCTCTGTCGTATGATTATACTGCCTGTTAAAGATACCTAAAGTGCTTGTTTGGCTTGGGTGCTCTCGGCAAAATTAAATCTTAGTACAGGTTCGCATCATCAGAGCTCAGGTGCCTCCCTCTGGAAAGGAAACTGGGCGTCAAAATTACTTGCAGTGATTGGTATCCATCTATATGGTGCCGTTTTAAAAAGAGATACCAGCTTCTGGGGAATGTACTTGGTCTGCAAAGGTTAAATACCAAAAAGGCAGCCCCATTAAGAAAACAAAAGTAAAAATATTAAAACGATCAACATTTTAATTTCAAGATAACGGATAATTTTGCAATTCTCTGAAATAATTTTAACATGTTCAAATTTTTAACGATAAAAAAGCTCTAGTTATTGGCTTTCAGATAAAAGAAACGTGAAAATTTATCATTTCCGTTTTTCAGTTATTATAGTCTACTTTTGATTACTTAAAATTTTCAAACCATTTTGGGGGTATTTAATTTTTTGCTTCTGTAACAAAACTTTGTGATTTATTCAAGGAATAAAATGCATCCAGAGCTATACCATTTTTTCTCTCCCGATTTTGAAGTTTTTTTAAGTCATACTTTTCAAAGTTCTACAGTATCTTATCAGCTCCTATATGTCAATTAATTTACATAATTGATATCTAAATTATAATTTAGAAAGACTTTTAGAAAATGAAAATGGGCTCTTTTCGTACATTTCTTTCAAATTACTATTAATCCACAAAATGTGTGTGTGTGGGTTATAACTGATATAACTGGCTAACTTGTTTATCAGTCGTACCCCCCATTTTGATTTCAATAAAACAAAATATTAGATAAACAATTGAAGTGGCGCAACTTATCCTGAGGACAGAACCCGCGACCTTCGGTTCCGTAAGCACGTAACATACCGCTGTACCAAAACGATCACTTTAGTCCGGAGGTTGTTACTTGCTTATATAGCTGATACCGCTACACACTCCCCCACCAGTGAGTCGGTGGATAGGCGAACGAACGATATATTTGTTATTGCAAGCGTGTGCA